TGACATCACTGTAACTTGTACAGTAATGTAAAATTTAAAAATCATTGTTATCCATGTTGTATTTCATTCCTTCACTATTCTGTAAAGGTGTTGTTCCAAGAGCAGCTGCTGTGCTCCCGTCAACCTTCATCTGCTTCATCCTCATCCTTCATCTGCCCTTCTGTCATCTCAACATGTCAAGAAAAACTAGTCTTGTAATAGTGGTTGCAAAATGATAGTCCATTCCATGATTACTTATATTTCTTACAATACTTCCTAACAAATGAGCAAACACTTGATTCATAGTGCAAAAGCTGGGATTAGTTTTCCACTTCTGAAGAGGCCCATAAGTTACAAGAGAGCATCAGTGCCCTGGAGAGTTTTTCCAAGAGGTCGAGCAGATCCAGCTTTTTCCAGGTTTTGAAGGACATGACCCACAAACAGAAGTCTCCCTTCAGTAAAGTTGGCTATGCAACAACACAGTCTTTACTACTTGCAAGAATTTTTATAACACAGCATGAAGTCTTGCTGCAGAAAGAGTTATGTTGTGATTCACTGACCAATATAAACACCATGTGATTGGAATGAGACATTACTAAAAAAAAATCCCTCAATATTTATTGAAAACAGAACACTTAGTATCTGCTGATTAGACGCAGCACTCAGGACTTGTGGTTGTTTATTTCTTCAGCACTTGCACAGATTCAGATCTAACAATCCAGCTAAAAAGACAGCTCATAGCTTTAATGAGCAATGCATTCAAAGTGATGGAAGTGAGATGGTCATTTTCTCACTCTAAACAAATACATTAAATGCCATGTGGAAAACAACTTTACCATGGAGTTTTCATATGTATCACCCCATTTACATTGTCACATACATCTTATTTTACTATCTAGCTCTTTGGTACCAACTACAAAGCTTGTATTTCCCGATTGGGCATAACAGAGTGCTGGTAAAATGAAAGGAAGGAACGACTTTTTATTTCATATGTATTGCAAAGTCTTAAGTGACAATATCTCTTTTGAATGACATGTGAAGTAGATAATGAGTGGCATCCCTGTGTGCTTTCATAAAAGTAACTGGAGTGCTTAATCTAGATTCATTTGGATAATTACATGGCCCTGATGTGAATTTAGCCTGTTAGCATCTTCTGTAAGAGCTCTTGTTCAATTCAGCCTGCCAGCCTGTTCACATTTTTTCCCTTTCACCAGTTACTGAATTTCAATAGTAGTTTAAATACAAATTTATCTTTGGGGAATCAAACACACAGAGGAATGTGACAGGGTAAGCTACTATTTCAAAGTTGTGTCAAGCAAGATGAACCTGTATTTATTTAAGAAATGCATCAAAAATGCATTACTGTCATGATTTTTTGCACCTTAGATTTTTGCAGTTTAAAATACAGGATGCCTACTTTATATATTTAATAGCATCACAGAATCAGAGAAAGGTTTGGATTGAAAGAAACATTAAAAGTCATTGAGTTCTAAGCTCCCTGCTATGGGCAGGGATGCCACCCACTAGATCAGATGGCTCAAAGCCCCATTCAGTATGCCTTGAATAGTTACAGGGATGAGGCATCCACAATTTCTGCAGACAACCTGTTCCAGTGTTTCACAACCTACACAGTAATGAATAATTTTTGAATAACTAATCTAAACCTACTCTCAGTTTAAAGCCATTCCCTCTTGTCCTACCACGACATGTCCTTGTCAAAAATCCCTCACCAGCTCTCTTGTAAGCCCTCTTTACATACTGGAAGGCCACAAAAAGGTCTTCCTGGAGGCTTCTCTTCTCCAGAATGAAAAACCCCACCTGTCTCACCCCGCCTCTACAGGAGAGGTTCTCCAGCCCTGTGATTGTCTTGCTGATCCTCATCTGGACCCACTCCAACAACTTTATGCCCTTTTCATGTTGAGGACCTCAGAGCTGGATGCAGCACTGCAGGCAGAGGGGCAGAATCCCCTCCCTCGACCTGCAGGTCACGCTGCTTTGGATGCAGCCCAGGACGTGAATGACGTATTTTTTCCACCATCCCCTTCCAAACTAATGAGAAAGTAGCTTGTATCGGCGTGAAGGAGTGTAGAGCTCGTCTCTTGTGTTTCCTGACGCAGAGTGCGCGGCGGGGCAGGGCGGGGAAGGATGGGGCAGGGCAGGCCCCGCGCTGTCGCCGCTGCCCGGCCTCGCCAGGAGATGTCGCTGTGCCCCGCGCAGCCGGCGCCGCGCGCTCCCGGCCGGCCGTGCCCGCGCATCCCGGAGCCGTCCTGGAAAGCCGCGGAGGAGGCGGACACCCGGGATAGCGGCGAGCAGCGAGGGACGGTGTGGGAAGCCAAGCTGCCCGGCTGTTGCTTCGGAAGAGCACCTCCTCTGCAGTGCCTTCCCTGGGCAGCCTCCCCGCTGGGCAGCAGCGAGAGAGGCCTGCGCAGGCACGGTAAAATGGGGAAACAAAACCTGAGGCACCGAGCTGGTGATTTAGGACGTCGATCCAGCTCCTGTCGGATCTGCTCTGAAAGTTTAAAAAGATCACGGTAATCAACTGTTATCGAAACGTATTGTCGGACCGAATCCTGCTGTAGGTATTTGAAGAATACAGCACAATAAGCATCAATAAGCGCCTCAGTGTTGCAGCACTGCGCCCATGTTTAAATTTGAAAGCCGAAAATCAAGGGTGTTTCTGTGTTCCACTTGTCATATTCCCCATGTTAGTAACAAAGAGATAAGAAGCATTGTGCTAATTCATGAGACCACAGGTGACAAACTGAGAGAAGGGACTGAACAGCAGGGAGGGCAGGATGGGAAAGCACAAACAGGCTCCATAGCTTCATTATCAAAATCTTTCTGATTTCTTGTCCTACAGAGTAGAAAGGGATCCTATAACCTTCTGCAGCATTTTGCATACAACATGAATTTAAAGGGTATTCAAAGAATCTTTCATGCTAATTAGACCAGACAGCTTCAAGTATGGTTAACACAGACATTTGAAAGACTAACACAGCTGTTTCTGGGAATAGATACAGCTGTCCCACAGTGACTTGCAGTGAGACGGTGGCTTCTGTTTTCATTTGAATTGTAACTATGGGCATTTTCCAGAGAGAATGGGAATAAATAAAACAAAATTTAAAAGTGATATTCCTGTACAGTACATTTATTAATGAAGTGCAAAATTGAAGTAAAATAAGTCAGGCTACCATCACAGAATTAATTAGGGACAGCAATAGCTTTCAGGAATCTGTATAAGCATATCACAACCAGACAGGCATACTGCTTCACTTCAGGGTTAAAGTTTCCTCATCAAGTGAATCATTTGCTAGCAAAAGAGAAAACAGCTGAACAGATAACAGGCAATGCTCCAAATTGGTTTTGTCACTATTTTAGTCAGTCATACATTCAGAATTGCATTTTAAAATTATTACTGGAGAATACTTTAAGGAGAAAAGCCAACAGTTAAATAAAGTAGCCTAACTCTCCTTACTCACAATACTTCTCCCTCACAATACTCAATTAAACAGTTGGCCATTAATATCTTGAACTTTTGAAAATTTCCTTACCTTCCAATGCAGCCTAAGTTTAAAGTAAAATGGCAGCCTTAAAGCTTTAATTCCACATACAACAGGTAATCCTGCCCTGCTATTAATGTAATAGTCAATATCTGATAAATATCTGATAAATATCGAAGTTTAGTTGCCTCTTTCTTCATTTGGTTGCAACCATTAGCAACCAAAGATCCCACAATAGCTATAGTAATGGAACATGTAAGGACAGGGGAGAGACAGAACTCTGAACAACAACAGCCAAACAAGAAGGAATAAAAGTATCTTATTTGATTATTTCTAGCTCTAGAGCAACTCTTACTGCATTAATGAATCAAACAAAAAAATCTTCACCATCAATTGCCATAACACATTTTGCTTCACATTACCAAGCTCAGCCAGAGTGACATTCTAGCAAACATACTAAAATTTAGAAATTACTTTCCTTCTTTATTGCACTTTTTTCTTAGCTCTTGTTAAATAAACTATTCACCTTTGTAGGTGGCCCTTATCTGCCCTGCAATCGTAGAATAGCAAGAAGATTACAAGCTAGAGGTTGTAGATGCTCCTACTCTGGAGATACGTGAAACCCACCTGGATGTGATCCTGTGCAACCTGTTCTAGGTGAATCTGATTTGGGGTTGGTATAGATGATCTCCAGAGGTCACTTCCATTCCCAAACATTTTGTGATTCCATAATTACACCTCAGAGAGCCCTGGAGGTCATCAGTCCTGCTTTGCAGACACATGCAGTAGATGAGATCACAGGTTCAAGTTATTAAGCAATAGAAGATGAAGATTACTGGGACAATGTGATAGCATTAAGGATTTAGAATTGTCTTTACTATGCCCCTGGGGGAAAATAACTCTACCCTCTTCTGGAAGCTCTGAAACATGAGCTTTCATTGTAGTTCTGTCTGCACTCTTGTGTCTGACTCCCCGACATGCTGGAGGCGTCTCTGCTGTGTTAGTAGGTTACTAAGATTGCAGATTCCGCCCTTCAGGCTCCCCCTTTTTGGGCAGAGATTGTTTCCCTCCTCCCACCAATAACACGGTGTCCTGGGGTGACCATGCCCAAATTTCACCTATGCACAGCTTCTGAAAAAATGCCCAATGCACTTGCTAACTTTACAATTTAGCTAACCTGAAATCTGCTCCATTCCTGCCGTCAAGGTAATTAAATCTCTTCCCTCACTAGACAGACGTTTCAATTAGATTATACAATTCAATGAGAAATACAGATTTTGTACTTACTGCCACATATCCCTTGGGAAAAACAAAAGTATTGAACTTCCATTTAAATAAAAACATCTTTCACATTATTTAATTATTATTCATAATTATAAACAGCACAATATTGCAATAAGAATGCATGCATTAACACTTTTCTTTTACTCCTCCTGCATGAAAGCCATGCATGTGTTGAAGCCACTCAAGACTGCAGTGCTATAAATAGTGCTCTATTGTTAGTGGATAAAAGACGAAACAAGTCTCACAGCACTGGAACACAGGACACTGTATTAAATGTTAAGCTCTGCCTGTTCTAAAAGTAAAAGGCGACATCAACTGATAGACTGGTCTGTGGGTAAGACACACGGCTGGGAAAAGTTCAGTCTGACTCTGCAGTTTCCCAGCACAGCAGGCGTAGCAGCTGATCTTTCTGCCTCAGCAATGGCAGAAGCTGTCATAAGACATTGGGTGGAAACCCCTGTACGCTACCAGGAGCAGTTTGTTGACCAAGAGCTGGAAGCACACAGACTGAACCACCTTTTATATGCTTTGCCAGGCCCTGCCACCACTGCACCGAGCGACCGAAGGTGTGCCACAGAAAGCACGGCTGGGGTCAGGAAGAGCGGCCAGGAGGAGGAAAACACACACTTTCGGGTCTTGCTGGATGTTGTGCAGTTCCGCCCCGAAGATATCATTATCCAGACTTTCGAAGGCTGGCTCCTGATTAAAGCTCAGCATGGACCCAGGATGGACGAACATGGTTTCATATCCAGAAGCTTCACCAGACAATACAAATTACCTGACGGAGTGGAGAACAAAGACTTGTCTGCACTTTTCTGCCATGATGGCATTTTGGTTGTTGAAATGAAGAACTCAGTGGAAAAGAATTAGAACCATGTCTATAGTTATCGGTGAGATAAAATCATTCTTAATGTAACAAAATTATATCAATCATGCAATGCTGTAGGGTGTAGTAAGCATGTAGCTGTATTTATTAAAGGAAATTATTTGTATATATTTTTTGTATGCTGAGTTTACTGTTTGATGTGAACTGTTATACTGCTTGCCTCCAGCTACATATAGGTTGAAAACACAGGCTGTTCAAACAGTAGCAAACAAAGGCTAGTCTCAGCAGGAGAAAAGAAAAAAATCTATTTGATAACATACTGAAAATGGAGCACAGTTTTGAGTTAATTAGCAGGAATTGTATTTCTAAGCAATAAGCATTTGTCATACATAGTCATAAATATTAAAGAAGGAATGGACAAGTTGTGAATCTTATGGAAATTTATGTACCAAAAAATCTGTTTTCTAAGTTTTGAGATTAAATTCTTCTCTCTGGAAAAGCACAAGAACTGAAAGATACCATCAAGAGAAAAATCCCGATTTCCACAGTTCAAGATTCTATACCAAAAAACTCTCAAGAGATAACTTTTTAGAAGTGTGTTGCATGTTTCAAACTATGAGAAAAAAAATTTATTTGCTTGACTTTATTTGCTTGAAAATACAATAAATAGAAATTATACTTTCTGTCATATTAATTTGAAAGAAAACCTTTCTTTAAAAACATTTTAGAAAATTGGTTTTGTTTAATATAATAACTGAAGAAAAAAATTTTGCTTACAAACGCACCAAATTCTTCTTTGTGAAACCTCAGTAATAAAAAGACATTGCTCTTGCACAAATGCCTTTTTTCTTACACATTTTAGGTAATCTTGTTATTTAATCTGATGAGTATTTAATTGTCCACGTTGCTTGACAGTTTAGGCTGAAATCCCACAACTTTGTCTTCAAGAGAAAATTTTTCTGCCAATGGTAATCCCCCTCTCCCCATGGGAACACAGGCTCTACATGAACCTAATTTTAGATATAGGGTTTCCTTGCTGCAGACACAGTTTCTGTTCCAGTGTCTCACATTTCATGAGAGTGGCAGAGATGAAAAAATAGCCACCTTCTATATCTAGTATGTGGTCTTCTCAATATTAAAAAGAAATAATGCTATGGGTTTGTAAGTACTCACATATTTGAGGGTAACTGCATCTGCAAATCGAACTGCCTGCTTTTATATGTACTGGAGACCACTATGACTGGTGTGCTATGAATAGTAAAGGAATGTGGAATGGAAAGTGCCAAGTTAAAAACAGATGCTTTATCACAGCCATCTGTTGTTTGGACAAATCAAAAACATATTCAAATGAAACTGAATACAAATACAATTTTAGGAACACAAGAAAACTATGATGAAGAAAACCTGGGCTCTCACCAGCTGAAGCTAGAGAGTTCCTTTCATTTCAAATTAAAATCCTAAGTTTGTATGTCTGCACATGTCCATTTATGAGAAAGATTTACATTTTTGTTGTTTAGACTTAAAGATATTTGAAGCAATTGGTTTTAGAAAAGTGGGTGGTACAATTCTTGTATTTTACCTATTAATTGTGCTAAGACCCAGAAGAAATTTGTACAAGGCAGAATAAAGTCTGAATTGTAAATTTCCATCACATGCAATTATATTTTTAATACAACAGAAGTCAAGAGTGTAATGTTTTCTCACAAACTAAACCAAATATAAAACATATGTCCCTGCATTTCTATTCAACCCCACACTTTTCCCTCATATTGCCTGTGTTCAATTTGCATATTGGTTTAAGATCAAACAGCAAATCAGATCTAGATTTCTATGTCTAGGAGCTTCACCAGACAGCAATCTGGTAGAAGATGTAAAATGGACTAAGAAACTGAATTCTAGATACAGGTCTAGTGTAGAATTTAAACTTTACAGGCCAAATTTATAAAAGCTGTAAAGCTTAAAGATTGTTAGCAATCTGTTTGGGTGATTTTTGTTTACAGAGTTTTGTAAACTTTATCACTTAAACTTACAAGTTATTATAAAAACTATTCTAGCTGTGATTGCAGTGATGATATTCATAGCCATATAGATGAGAAAGATGTTCTAAAAAAACAAAACTGATTTAATTATTTCAAATTAAATCATGGTTAAGCTACTGGAAACTTGGCAAGGAATTAGACCATACAGCCAAAATAATATCATCTGTTCTATATATGTTAATACCATGGTTACACACAGGCCTGCTTATGTACACAGGCCTGCCTCACAAAACTGGGTGGAGAATGTGATGCCTGATTGTTCTATATTGCAAGTCTCTCTGCATCACTTTGTGCCCAAGTCTGTACTTGCTCACAATGTCATCAGTCAGAAATCACTGGAACACCTTGACCCAGACATAGCACAGATTTATCCAGCCAAACTTTACCTTCTTTCATAGACAGATCTTTACAAAAGCCTATATCCATGCTCCTTGGTAAATGGGAACTTTCCCTGAGCTGGCACCTGAGCCTTCAAGTAACAGAGACCACAATGGAGTATGGACCTGCCACTGAATTCCTGCATTTTAGCATCAAGAGGAGAACAGGAAAACATCTCCCTCCTTTTTTTAAAGTGGTGATTTATCAAAAGATCTTGGATGGATGATTTTTATGTATTTACTAGAACAACCTCAAAGTACTTGGCAGACAGTTTCTGAATAATCTGGAAAGATCTGTTCTCACATATTTTATATGATATTTTACTTTTATAATCTGATTAGAACTGAATGTGAATGTCACATAGAAAGGTGCTAATATTGCTCATGAGCAGCAGACTGAGATATTAATCAACAGCAAAGGATTTCAGAACAGCTACAGCTTAAGACAGGTTTAAGACATGCTGATGTGGTTAAATTAGGAACTGTGAAATTGGCTGTCTATAAAATTTTGGCCCAGAATAAGCGATAAGCCTGTGCAAGTCTTGCAGACCAAGTGTTACCGAGGCTTCTCAGTTCCCAACAGTGAGGGATTACCTTTGTAATTGATCAAACTGCTCCTCCAAATGGATAAATATGATTTAATGAATGAATATAAGCACTGTGAAAAATGCCTTCATACAGAAGAAAATGTATCAATATGGCACTAGTCGCCAAAAAGAAAGTAAAAAAAATAAATTTTCATAAGATTCTTGTGGGGACAATGCCCAAAAATGCCTTTCCTTGCCTTGCTGCCTTTTCACAGTTCCTGCTGCACCCAGGGCATTTGAGTTCTCTCGACAGAGTCCAATAGTGGTAATACAGTGAACCAAGGCCGACGTGATACCCACCAGTCACTCAATAATGACTTAGCTGCAGCACTGGAAAAGAGAAAAGGAAATTTCTGGTGTATCATGGTGGCAACACTCCCGCTCAGAGGGGAAGGTCTCACATTCCTTACTTCATATCCAGGAATCAAAAAGTCCCTTTTTAATCTGAGTAACAGTACAAGACTGGTTTTTAAAGTGAGTAGAAGTATTTCTGAAAATATTAGGTACACCTTCTGTTGTTTGAAAGAGATGCAAACCTCTGTCTTGCCAACTACCAGAGACTGTGGCTGGCCCCTCTCACCCAGAGGACAGCAGCTCAATAGCCTTACACTGTGAACACAGAAGTTAAGTCTAAAGAGTTACACCTGTATACTACATTGGGGTAGTGAGCTGGCCCCACTTTTGCTAGCTCTGGAGCCAGAAGTACTGTCCCTGTGTGCCAGCTCAGGTCCAGAAAACTCAGACTCTCTGCTGCTGAGCTCAGGCTGAAAAGTAATCCCTTATTAAAAAAAAAACACTTGGACATTAAGAGAGACATGAGAAACATGGCATTCCAGCTCAGGACTTCCCATTCAGGTTAGTGCTAGAGTGGAGATTTCTGCTGATTTCTGCTGTCTGTGCCATGGTGGGCTGCACTTTCACCACAAATCCCATCAATCTACTTTAAAAGTAACCCTCTTTAGCCACATGGTAATACTGCTGATGCCAGCCTTTTCAAGGGGAAGTATGTCTAGCAGCAGCTTGCACAAATGGAACTGGTGCAAATAGAGAATTTACAGTTCCTCCCATGCTCCTTGGTGTGTTTACTGTGCTTTGGGCTGCCCCTGACCCCAGTGAGCACTGGTGATGAAGTATGAGACTGCTGAGCTCTGCTACATGGCACAGAAGCTGCAGCAGGCAGGTCTGTGCACGAAGAGGAGACAGAAAACTGTAAAACCAGGGTAGGTAGGCCTTGGCACACAGCTCTCTCAAGGAGAGCAAAAAAATCCTTGTGTTACCAACACTGTTTCCAGCAAATCCACACCACAGCCCTACAGTAGCTACTGTCAAGAAAATACACTCAATTCCAAGTCAAAACCAGAAGATATAAAAAAAAAGATTTGAAGACATAATATTTAAACCTTCTGCAAGAAATAATTGACTTTTTTGTAGAATAAGCATTTTTAGGGGCTGAGAAATACATTTCAAAATTACATTTCAAAAATTTTGATTGTTAATACAAAAGGAACACGTACATGGACTAAACCCTTGGTATCCTAGGCTGAAAGAGATGAAGCTACTTCAGCTACTATTTTCAGCTATGTTTCTTTCCAATTGCATATCTCTTCAATTATCTTATCTATTAATTGTACATTTCATCATGTAAGCAGATATATCTCATGTCAGCATCTCTAAAACTTTCATTTGTTCTTAGCAGAGTTGGATGACATTGGGATAAAAGTGGAAAAGCCCTACCTGAACTAGCCACCCCAAGATTCCTAGTCAAGGCTTCATCAGCTCAAATTAGTTTACTCAATAAGTATAAAGTAGTTAACTTGTGCAGTTGCCCCTCTCACTGGTTCTGCATGGAGTTGGTTTGATCCAGCAAGACTTCCTCACTCAGGGGCCAATGTACAGCCTCCAGGGCTGGCTGGAACATTTCTCTCTACCACCACAGTACCAGGAGTAGAAGCTGGCTGCTCCTACAGCTGATTCAGACACCCAGAGGGACCACGTGAGTATTTCTCTGTATGTGTCTGACTTCCCACAAGAGGCAAGATGGGATCTGAGAATGTTTTGAGTTCCAGTGGCACTAACTCCTTTATTTTTAGTTCCACTCCTCTTTTTCCAGGATATACCATTCCCCTCTCAGCCTGGGCACAGGAGTCATCTGTTCCACAGACATCACAGTAGCACACTGGAGTAAGACAAAGAGCAGGCATGGGTTTTGTCTGTGAATAAGCTAATTTGGAATTTGGATGTTGGGTTAAATAAGTCCAACTCTTAACTAAAAATGATTCCACTGATCATAACTACAATGAAAAATTAATGAAGGGGAATGATTTTCAGAGCAGAGTGTGACTAATAAAAACATAATTCTTGTACTCTGTCTTACAAGGCAGACAGAAGCTCATAAGCTACCTGCTCTGGTGACAGCTGTATGCATTTTAATAGCTGTTCAATTATATTTTGCAACTTTACCACAATTACCCAAGAACTGGTGGCATGACTAGTATGTACCGTACAAGACACTCCATAAATACAGCCTCTGCCTTAATGTATACATGGAGCCTCAGGACTTGATCCTGGAATGAAACTGGGAGACTCAATACAGATTAGGAGACTATGAGACAACTAAGTGAAGAAATATGAACTCTAGACCCTATCATAATAACCATAGCAATATTTAACTTAAACCTGCTAGAAACCTCAGTCTGAAATGACTACAGTGTCGAGACAGATAGGGTTTCCTTATTTATTTTATTCCAGATTTAAATGTCAGAAGGATCAGTGATGATCCCTAGAGTGACACCCTTAACAAAATGCACCTTATTAAAATCACATTTAATAATTTCCTCATGAAGCCAGCCCATAATATGTTTGAAAAAGAACACATATTCAAGAAAGATATCAAATGTTTATTTCAACACTTCTGTTGATGGAAAACTCATCACACCTCTCCTTCAGTTATTCAAGTGTTAATAATCATCATGGCCTACAAAGAGCAGGTTTTCCCTAGTCCCCTGAGATTTGTTCACTGATAATTTTATGCTAAAACTAAAAGTAATACTCTGGACAGCTCTTGGGACAGCTCTTTCTATTACCCTGTTTTTAGGAGTTACAAAGATATAAAAGCATAGTGCTTTCTACTAAATAGTCTTATTAGCTACTAATAGAACACTAATGAATTTATCAGCATGAAAAACTGTAAGCATAATCTTTCCACATAGAGCAGAAATACATATTGAATAATTTTGCATATATTTAATACCTTTGTACCTGATGGATACCTGTATTATCATTGGTAATTTCGCCATCTTCATGTCCTACTCATTAAACTATTGCTAGGATTCTGTTGCTTGTCAAATAAGTCCTGACCTCCCACTGACCATATAATTTTTAATATACTTTGAGCTTTCTCTTTTATCAATTGATATTGCTTGCTACCAACTGCTTATTTTTTCCATTTCTGCTTTCACTTGCCCTCTTATAACAATGTATTCTAGATTTGGATACATCTGCTTATTTGAGCACAGTTTGTATTTATGGGTAGCAATAAACACACTAAATGCATACAGAACAACCAGAGCCAGGTTCTGACACTGTTTCTCTTAGGAAATT